ATCTGTAAAATGAGCTGGAGAAGGAAATGGCAAAATAAAATGGGTTCATGAAGAGTTGGACATGTCTGAACTGATCAAACAACAACAGTGATATTTAGGTGACCACTTAATATTTTTGAGCATAGTCATGAGATGACCAGATTTGTCTTCGCTAGCTTATCAATATGATGCTCCCTGTCTATCATTATCACATTTTTTTCCCTCTATAGTTCTTTCTCTTGTTGACTTCATTGGTCTCCATGAGTTTAATTATCATAATCCAGTTCCATTTTTGTTTGGGCTGTAGTCTTTTGTCACCAACTAATTCATGTTGTCATTTCAGACTAGTTTTTTTAGAACTACTTCATATTCAGCATATTCAAGACATTATTATTATTATCTTTTTAAATTTTTTATTTATTTAATTTTAGTTTTCGACATTCACTTTTGTAAGATTTTGAGTTCTAAATTTTTTCCTCTTCCTTCCCCTTTCCTTTCCCCAAGTGGACATGCAGTCTAATATAGGTTATACATGTACAGTCATATTCAACATTTCCACATAAGTCATGTTATAAAGAAGAAGAATCAGAATCAAAGGGAAAAACCATGAGAAAGAAAAAACAAAACAAAACAAAAGATTACTTTTTCCTTTGGAGCTTATTACATACAGCCTTGGAAAATTCTCTTTTTTTTGGTTTTGTGGCTGTTCTTTCTGTTTAATTTTAGTTACTGTGGATATTGTTATCTTGACCCTGCTTACTTTTCATGTCTTTTCAGCACATTCTCTTTTCATGTACCATGGTTTGTTTAATCATTTCTCATCTACTTTGTTTCTTTGATATTGAAGATGGTGCTACTATAAATATTTTAGTATATATATAGAATTTTAGTTTATTTTTTACCAGTGACAGTCTTTGGATATATGCCTGGAAATAGACTTTCAAGGTTAAAGGGTGTGGATGTTTTGGATTTTAATTATTTTCCACATAATGTGCTTATGTTTCCATATTTAAATTGACCACTCTTTTCCCTTGCCAGTTTGTTCTGATTTACATTTTTTGATTACTGGTGATTTGTAACATTCTTTCTGACTTGAGTTTGTAATTCTTTTGAGAACGCATGGTAACCCTTTCTCACTTTAGTGTATATTTTCCCCTTCCCAGATGGTGTGAGCCAGTTAAATAAAGTTCCTCAAAATTTGCCATTTCCCTAGAATATAAGTTTTATGTTGAATTTATTTTGTTTTGTCTCCCCCAACAATGGAATAAAAGCTCCTTAAGAGCTTTTTTTGTCTTTATATCAGTTTTGCACTGTTTCAGTCTCTGACTGTGGCAGCTTTTTATTTATAAAGTATAAACATGTAGAGGTCTTCAGCTTAAAAAAAACCAAACCTTCATTTGACTCTTTCCCTAGGAAGTTCCTGGGTAGATTTTTATTCAAGTATCACATATGTTTCAATATTATGTGTATGACTACTGATATAATATTTGTCACTATACTTGGGATATATATTTTTCACTAATGATACTTAATATAGTTGATAGTGGTTGTTTTCCTATATTTACTAAACTTTTCCCTTTATTTTTAGGATCCAAATGGAGAGACTCCGTCATCTTTATACAGAGTTGTAGCCATACTGCTGCAACATAATCTTACAGATTTGGAGGATCTATATGTCCTTGTAAGTTTCACACAAATAAAATCTGATATAAACAATCGGAAAAGTGCTAATTACTCATAGGCAGTCCAAGCCAGTATTAAAGAAAGTGAGAATTCTATCTAGATTAATGCTTATTCAATGCCCTACCAACTGAACTACCAAAAAATATTTTATAGAGCTAGAAAAAAAACCAGAGTTCATCCGGTAGAACAAAAGGTCAAGAATATCATTATTCATTAATATATCACAATATTATTATATGAACACTGACTGAAAGATAACTTTTTTCTTTTTTTTTTTCTTCTTTCCTATTTTTCTTGTCGTCTTGTACAAAATGACTAATATGGAAATGTTATACATGATTGCACATGTAACCTGTGTTGGATTGTTTGCTGTCTCAGGGAGGGAGGAAAAGATAGAATTTAGAACTCAAAACTAAAAAAAAGCCAAATTTTAAAACTTGTTTTAACATATAATTGCTGGAAGAATGAAATACTACTTTTAAAAATGTAATTGGGAAATGTTTAATAAAATAAAAAAATACAGTACAACATAGATAATGGTAATTTGTGGTTTTCTAAGTCAATATATAGCTAGTAGAGATAACATTTGTGTTTGAGTTTCAAAGCATTGCTCCTCTTCAGTTCCAAGAGGGAGAAGGCCAACTTTGCTTTTTTAAAATTTAATTTAATTTTGATTTTTTTGGTTACATTTTAAGTTTCAAACTGTCTCTCCTCTTCCCTTCCACAGAATCTGCATTTTCATGCAGATTTATAAATTTATAAATATATGTGAAACCACACTATGCATACCTCAGTTTATCAGTTCTTTCTCTAGAGGTGGAAAGCATCTTCTTTCATAGGTCCTTTATAGTTGATTTTAGTTGATTATAGTTAAGTGTTTGTAGTACTCATGGTGGTTCATAATTATTCTTTGAACAACATTGCTGTTAACTGTATAGAACATTCTTTTGGTTCTGCTTACTTCACTTTTCATTATTTCATGCAAATTTCAGTGTAGAAGGCATACTTTAGCAAAGTTATTTTCTAGTATGGTGTATCAGTCTTTATGTAAGTTGTTTTCCTGATTCTGCTCTGCTAATTTGTAAAAGACTTCTAAGGTTTTTTTTAATCCCTCCTGTTATTTTTCATTAGAAAATCATATGCCATTATGTTTATGTACCATAGTTGTTAGACCAGTCCCCAACTGAGGAAATTAAGAAAGTCCTGATGTAAACATTGTTGCATAAATGGGTTCTTTCTCTCTGACTGTGTGAAAAACCATAATAACTTTTACTTCTTCCTGGAGCGGTGAGAGTGATTCACAGTTCCATAAATACACTGCCATTTTGTAAGTTGTTGTCAGGATGGTTGTTTTTTTTTAAAATACCATCTTAACTTGTTA